GATGAGAACAGCTCACTCTCCCTCCTGGGCAGGAGCTAGGCTTCTTAAGGAAGCACCACGCTGTCAGACCACATCACACCAGCCAAGTTCTCACCCATACCCCAGCCAGCTGCATCCTAACAAGCTGGGGGCAGGAGTGGGAGCCCTCCTGGGAGCTGACAGAGTGTCGTTTGTGCAAGCATTAGATCAAAAGCCCCGAAAAAAATCAATTGGGAAAAGTTAACGAGCAGGCTAATGAAAGCGGACAGTCACTAAATTACCTTCCGAGAGCCAGAGGAAGTCAGAGAGGTCCAGGTAAGGGCCTCACTGTTTGCTTTTCTGCTGAAACCCAGCCTGCCTGAGGGTCAGGGGCACAGGTAGATGCAGGACATTTGCCACCCGCACCTTCATTTGCAGAGAGGTACCTGACTTCACCGTAGCTCACTAATGGGCAATGACCTTGGCCCCCAGTCACCCCCCACTCCCCACTTACCCATCTTGGTCCTTTTCCACCATTTTCAGCCCCTCCAAGGCTTGGAGGACCTGCTTCTTGTTGGCAGCTGCCACCTGTCCAGCGATTCTGTCCAGATCTCTGTGTCCCTGAGGTGTTAGCTTGCGGCCCCCATCTTGGTCCTTTTCCACCATTTTCAGCCCCTCCAAGGCTTGGAGGACCCGGCGAGCCACACTCTTGGAGCCTCTGCTGAAGTGACTGGGCCTGACACCATTTCTCTGACGTCCTCCATAGATCTTGGTCATAGAGCCAACCCCAGCACCGCCCCGGAGGTACAGGTGCCGTGCTGTGGAAGCTGGGGTGGGCAAGAGGGAGCCTTAGGATCATCACAGCCATCTATCAAGTGTTATGTAAAAACAGCCATTTCTCACTAATTTATAGGGGATGAATCTGGAAAACACCTAAAACCCAGAACAACACCTCCCCCTGCTAACCATTACCCTCAGGACCCCATGGCTGAGTGGCCTTATGGTCTGGGAAGGCCTCCCCAACTGTGACCACCTCCACGTGCTGAGAGACAGGACAGTGGAGAAGGGACCAATTGTTACAAAGGAGCTCAGTTCTAGAGCACAGGACAGCTGTATATGGCAGGCACTCCCAATTTGGAATGTACACTGGTCCATCCACGTACATGGGGTTATCCCTAAGGCCAGCCTCATTTGTCTGTCAAGGAGCAGACAGTGATCTCGAGCCTGCCGAACCCCAAATCTCTTCTGGTTCCAAAGATCAAATGGCAGAAGCAGAGACTAATTTCCACCAGCCCACCTTACTCCCAGCTTCCAGCCTTGGCTCACTTTGCCTTGGAACTTCTTACCACAGCCCTGGCACCTGTCAGGATCAAGACACTCACTTGGTCTAAGTTTCCCATCCTCTACTAAGTGACATCACTGGATAAGCCCAACCTTGAAGACCTGTGAAAACACTCTCCAGCCACTACTGCCCTCCCCACTGTGTTCTAAGTGATGTGCTCTTCCCTAGGGCTACAGGCAGGTCAGGGGACTGTGGTCTCAGGGAGCTAGGACCAGAATCAGCCTGGACACAGGGAAAGGAGAGGGCCAAACCAAGCGACATAGCTTTGAATCCTAGCACAGCAACTCAGCAGTGGCAGAATCCCCAAGTGTTTGTAGAGTGCCACCAAAGGAAGGCATTCACTCACTCAAACTGCAAGCAGAGTTGACAAGGGAAGGAGAACCAACAAAGCTCAGCAGCTTCTGCAAGGGGGACTTACCGGCTTTTCCCCGTTTCCCATAGTAAGCTCACCTGACCTCCTACCCCAGAGTTCACGAGCATTACTTTTCTGGCTCACAAGAAGGGAGGGGAGTATTTATTCCACAAGTAGGGGCTGTTAGAGGCAAAATACTGAGTTCTGCAGAACACTGATCTCTTTTCTACCCTCTTCCTCATTGAGACCTGGGCTCTGGCACCTCTGTTATAAATAAGAGAACCCAGGTTCAGTTCTTGGCACAGAAACCCACATTGTGCCTAACAACTAACTCTAGTTCCAGGGGGCCCAGCACCCTCTTCTCACCTCTGTGCTACAGCATGCATAGGTGCAAAACATGTACACGCAAAGCATGTACACATGAAAATAAAAATGAGTAAGAATAAAAGAGGGCCAAAATAGCAGGGTTTTGGTTTCAGAGGGCTTCTTACCCCACCACCCACAGGCTTCCATCCTTCTCCTGCATGTTGAGACACAGACTACTCCTAAGGAGATGCCATGCGGCTCCCCAGCTGAGCACATAAACAGCGTGCGCCAAGCAGAGTCAATGTGTGGGGTGAGGAGCCCTTCACTCCTTGCCCTGACCCTTCCCTGCCAAACTTCTAAGGAAAAATGACTTTGGCTTCAGTTCACCCTTTCATCAGTCCTATAATGCCTCCCTGGCTGGCACAGCAAGCAGATGGACCAGCTTCCACGCTATAATTTGGAGGATACCTCCACGTGTCCAATACAGAAGTGGCTCCTGCCAGATGCCTGTCTATCCCCTTCAAGTAACACACACCCGTAGAAGTGTCCATTCCCAAAGCGAGACCTTCCGTGCCTACTCACCATACCCTCATGCCACTCCTACAGCCCTATCTATATCCAGATCAATCCATAATGGTGAGACCTTCCGTGCCTACTCACCATACCACCCTCATGCCACTCCTACAGCCCTATCTATATCCAGATCAATCCATAATGGACCCACTTTTTGCCACAGACCTCTTTCTCAAAACCCAAGATGGGACTAGCTTGCTACCTCAACTGCACTCTAGCCCCAAACCCAGGGCAAAGCAGGTTAGCACATACTCAGGCAGAAAACAGCAAATACAGTCTGGAAGTCAGTTCTGGACAGAGCTAGCCTATTCTGAAGGAAGTAATCTCTGCAGCCCACATCCCTCTGTGGCAAAACAGGTAATTCTTGGCAATGATTACAATGCGCCTACATAAGCCCATGGGCAAGTGCACTCACTAGCAGGCCCATCTTTAGGTTTTGACTTTTTCTCTCTCTCATTCTTAACAACATTGATGGGTGGATACACATACACTTTTTCACATTGTGGAGTTGACCTTTAGTTCTCATAGGTCAGAGGGTCCCTTGTCCTATTCCTAGGCCCCATGGACCTGTACAAACACATGACAAAGAGCTTCATGCTCTGAAGTGATTTATCCCAAGGCCAATTTATCTTGAGTTATTCCATGTTGAAGCTCCAATTTCAAAAGGGAGATGACAGAAGATCAGAGCGCTAAGGTCTCACCACCCAACACTGATCCCACCCGCCCCTAGGGTTAAGCCTACAGGGTGACAGCTCAGAGAACAACAGAAATATCCAGACAGGGATTGATGAATTAGGACCAGGAGATTAAAATGATGAGAGGGGAGTCAGACATCCAAAAGTTTTACTTGACACTTCGGAGCTATTAAGTCTCCTTTAGGGCAAGGGCATTCCCACCATTGCCAACCACTTCGATGGGAATGACCTGCTAGAGGCAACATGATTACTGGGAACAGAAACAACAAACCACTTGACTTTTCGAGTCACTGCACAACAGACACATTTCTACATTTTTTTGGTTGCATGAAACTCAGTTGAATCCTCTTAACAGCGCTGTATTGTCACCCATTAGCATCCACAGTTGGATGAGGAAACAGGCAAAGAGTTACTCCTGCCTGAGTGCAGAGTTAAACCTTGTCTTGACAAACGTGAACTCAAGCCCTATATCACGGACACAGAAGGGCCACCGACACTAACCCAACTTTCTTTGAAGCTCAAAGCCGTAATTACCAAAATGTCAGGTCACACATAGTATGAGGTTACACAAAGGTCTCTCTTTCCTACTGTGTAAGTTGGGAGGGGAATACAAACGGGTCCATGATTTGGGGGTCATAAAGCTCCTCACTTCCAGTCAAAGGACCCAGTTCCTCACCAGCTCGTGTGTAGAACCAGTTCTCATCATAGGGAGCAAGCTCTTTATGTTTGGCCAACTTGACCGTGTCCACCCATTCCGGGACTTTCAGCTTCCCAGACCTAGGACCAAGACAACGGGAAAAGTACATTTCAGGAATTGCCACAAGTTATTTCATGTCCCCAACACACCGCCCCCAATACAACAAAGCTAGAAAAAGCCGGATACATGCCACTGTATGAATGAGTAAGCGGAAATACAAACACAGCCACCCCGGGCCTAATGCCTAAAAGGCCCCAACAACTCGCCAGCCAACATGGGGGGTTACCCACCACAGGGTCAGCCCTCAGCTCCAACACTCACTTTTTGAGGAAGGCTGCCAGAGCTCTGACGAACTCCTGCTGGTTTACGTCTTTTACTGTAACTCCAGGCATCTGCGAGGGAAAGAAGGGCAAGGATGTCAACAGCAGGCCCGGTGCAGACCACGGTCCAGGCTCCAAGCCAACCCCAACCCCGCTCCTCTGCAACAGCCCAGATCCAAGCTCCTGTCACCTCCCCAAGTTACACTTTAAGCCCAGTTCGGCTGCTGTGGGTCTCCCAGAGCTCATCGGCGCCCAGTCTGTGGATCGCAGCAACCCAAACTGGTTACCGCGTGGGAAGATCTTACACGAACAGACTCCTTCCCGCCACACGATCCTGGGCACTCCGCTGCCCACCCAGCCCTTTGGGTTCCCCGACCGGGCATGTCCGGGCCTGCCGCTCGCACGTGGCCGCGGCTCCCAGGGGCGGAGCGGCCCTGCGATGGGCTTCCCGAGGCCCCCAGGCACGCGCTACTGGGTTGTGTAGCCCGCCCTGAAGTTCGCGCACAGAAAAACCCGGAGCCCTCGCTTACCGTGCGGCCTCCGCGCTGCTAGCCAGGGGGAAAGGGAACGACGGGGTTTCCCGGGCGCACAAGTCGGGCGTCGAGTCTCGCGAGACTTCCGAGTGCTCGCGAGAGCAGGTTGGACCAGGGGTCTCCGCCTCTCTCAGGGCGAATGTAGCTTCGTCTCCGCCTCCATGGGAGAGGAAGGGGTGGAGACGCAGAGAAGGGCTAGACTGGCCGCAGCAGGGGAAGGTTTCTTCGCTGCTCTTCCTTGCGCGTGTAGTGAGAAGTTTTGGGAACCTGGCTTCGTCGAGGTTTGCGTGTCCGGCAGGAACAGGGGTGGAGGACACTGAGGGCGGAAGTGCGGGCACGGAAGGGGAGCTGGTGCCAGAGGACAGCCCTTTTTCCTGGTACAAGTGGCCTTTCCCACGTCGGAAGTGGGAGTAGTCAGGGCGGAACCGAGAGGGGAAACGTAGAGGAAGGGCTAGGAAGAAATGTGGCCACTTCTTTCTCTCCGGGGCTTCAGTATTCCCGAGACCAGACTACACGGAAGTCCCAGCTTTCTTCGGGCGGAAGGTGCTTCAGCCTGTTGACCGCTACCGGAGAGGGGCTGCGGCGTCAGAAGCAGGGCGGAGATTAGGGCAGGGACAAAGAGGCAGAGGCGGGACCTTTGGTGGAAGGTAGTTCCGCTCTGCCACCTACTGCTGGAATCTGATTGCTCAGCCCGTTAGTCTTGCCCCATGTGTCCCTTTCTGTTTATCACTGGCTGGCTGTGTAGCTTTGGTTGTTACTGTTTTGACGCAAGGTCTCATTATGTAGCCAAGATTGCCATGGATGGTTCTTGTCCTTTTTTCCCTCCCTCCTCCCTCCCTCTCCTTTCTTTCTCTGTCTTTTTGAGACAGGGTTTCCTTGTAGCCCCAGCTGGCCTGGAACTTGCTATGTAGACCAGGCTGGCCTTAAACTCACAGAGATTCGCCTGCCTCTGGCCTGGAAGTTTCTGTGTAGCTCAGGCTGGCCTCGAACTCATGATCCTTTTGCCTCAATCTGAGTGCTGGGTTTACAGGAATGTGCCGTAAGTCAGGTTGGGTGTTGCTTTAATCAGCCCATTTGTCCCCTTACACCCAGGACTTGTTTCACCGTGTGTGTATGTATGAATGAGAGAGAGAGGAGAGAGAGCGAGACCTTGGTTCCAATAATTTATCCATTTTAAATGATTCTTCTTGTCTGTGGTGCATCACCTGTTAATTTTAGCAACAAGTATTTTGAGGGCTTACTTTGCCAGGTACAGGTAAACATTTGGCATTTATCATGTGTCTTGTCCTATAGTATTACAGGCACTGTTTAATCCTTATGAGGTACAGAAGTCAATACCCTGTGGTTTAAATAAATAAAATCAATCATTAGCTTGTTACAGAAAGAATTCAAGTGCTACACAAAGACAAAGGGTTAATAGGTTAAAATAGGATTTAGGAGCTGGGTGTGGTGGCACACACAGCACTCAGGAGGCAGAGGCAGGTGGAGCTCTGTGAGCAAGGCCTGCCAGGTCCAGGTCTACATAGCAAGTTGCAGAATAGTTGAAGCTAGAGGGAGACCCTGTCTCAAAATGACAAAAAAAAAAACAAAAAAAGGATGCGGAGAAGGTGAAGGTTAGGGGAAATTTATATTAAGTGGCGTTTTGCTGGACTTAGGTACTGCAGTTTCTTTGTAATGGAGCATTGTATTGAGTCCCATTTTCTTTTTTTTTCTTTCTTTCTTTTTTTTTTTTTTTTTTTTTTTGTTTTTTTTATACAGGGTCTTCCTGTAGCCCCAGTTGTCCTGGAACTCACTATGTAGACCAGGGTGGCCTTGAACTCACAGAGATCCGCCTGCCTCTGCCTCCTGAGTGCTGGAATTAAAGGCGTGCGCCACCACACCCAGCAAGTCCCATTTTCTTAAAAATACAGGGCTAACATAGATGTGTGACGTTTGCTGTCAAAATACTTCTGAAGTGTTCACATAGGCTTGAAATCATGACTTTGTGTCAGAGTGACCTGGACTGCCAGGTAAGGATGAGCTGCCCATTCTCACAGTTCCTGTGCTCTGGAAGGACCACCTTCTGATAGTCTGTTACTCTAGATCCCATGGTTTCTCATCACTCTGTCCTTTGTATTACTTTTAATAGCTTCATAATCAACAACTCTGTGAGGGGGTAATAAACTAGGCACCTGAAAGAAATAGAAGTCACTTATGTGTGCAGGGTCATGTAAGGATAAAACCTGAGTTGAGATTTGATACCACAATGGATCACTGCTTAGGCTTTTTGGTAATTTACAGACTTTGAAAATAGTTGAAGGGCTGGGCATGGTGGTACATGCCTTTAGTCCCAGCACTCAGGAGGCAGAGGCGGGTGGATGTCTGTGAGATTGAGGCTTGCTTGGTCTACATAGCAAGTTCCAGGTCAGCTACAAGGAGACCCTGTCTCAAAAACAAAATGAACAAAACCCAAAAACACACACAGAAGAGAAATTCGGGCCAGTGAAATTGCTCAGTGGGTTAAAGTGCTTGCCCTTCCAGCCTGATGATCTGAGTTTGATTTCTGCAACCCGTGGTGGAAAGAGAGAACCAACTCCTGAAGTTTGTTCTCTGACCTCCAAAGGCCTGTGTCTTGGTACACATACCCACACATCAAACACATATACAGTAATAATAAAGTAAAAACTGAAAAAATACTAAAAAGAAATGTGTTATTAATCCATGGTAAGACATGTATTACTGAGTGAAAGAAGTTTGTGGGGCTGGAGTGGAGAAATGGCTCAGTGGTTAAGAGCTGCCCTGCCCAGGCAGATCTCTGTGAGTTCAAGGCCTGGTCTACATAGCAAGTTATAGACCAAAACCCTGTCTCAAAAAGACCAAAAGAACAACAACAACAACAACAACAACAAAACAAGGCTGGAGAGATGGCTCAGTGGTTAAGAGCACTGGCTATTCTTGCAGAGGGCCTGGTTTCAATTCCCAGCACCCACACGGCAGCTGTCAGTAACTCCAGTTCCAGGGGATCTGATGCCCTCTTCTGGCTCTGAAGGCATTGCCTGACACAGGTGCACCAACCTGCATGCAAGCAATACACTTCCTATACATAAAAGTATTTTTAAAAATAATAAAAATAAGTCGGGTGTGGTGGTACACACCTTTAATTACACCACTCAGGAGGCAGACTGTGAGTTCAAGGCCAGCCTGGTCTACATAGTGAGTTTCAGGCCAGCTGGGGATACAGGGAGACCCTGTCTCAAAAAGACACCCCCCTCCAAAAAAAAAGATCTTTTTTTAGCTTAAAAAATTTTTTTTTCATGTGTATGAGAGTATTGCCTCCATGTGTGTAAGTGCACCCGTGTCATGCAGTGCCCTTGGAGGTCAGAAGAGGACATCAGATCCCTTGGAACTGGACTTACCAATAGTTGTCAGCTGCCATGTGGGTGCTGGGAATTGAACCCAGGTCCTCTGCCAGTGCTCTTAATCTCCGAGCCATCTCTCCAGCCCCGAAAGAAATCCTGAGACAGGATTTGTTCTTCCCTCAGTCTCAGATAGTTCAGGCCATTGTCCCTTGGCCCATGCCCTTGGGCAAATCACTGTTGTGGGAATGTGTAGCAGGAGTGCTTGCCCAAGGTAGACAGGAAGCAGAGAGAGGGGATACAGGAGCAAGCCCCAGGCAAGATAGAGCCCCCAGTGCCCTCCTTTCTCCCTCCTAGCCCATCTCCTACCTTCACCACCTCCCAGTAATACTCTCTTGTTATAAATCTGTTACAGGATTTATTAATCCATGGATTAGGTCAGAGTCCTCCTGACTGAATCCTGTCTGGAAATGCCCTCATAGACACACCTAGAGTGCACTTTACTGAGCTCCTAGGTGGTTTTGTAGTTTTGTATTGTGGGCTGGCCAGGAGCTCAGTATAAACTAGATTGGCCTCAGACTTGTAGTGCTCCTCCTGCCTCTGTCTGAGGGCTAGAATTACAGGCATTTACCTCCATGGCCAGCCCATTCAAGTGTTTCATCCTGTCAAGTTGACAGTCACAATTAACCACAACACCAAGTGTCCAAGGTTTACATAAAAGTTTGTGTCTGTCAGGTATATCTTACAGGTTTTGACAAACATATGAATGTATCTACCATTATCATGTCATAGGAAATAGCTTCATTGACTTCAAACTCCTCTGTGCAACATCTGTTCATCTTCTGCCCCCCCCGAACTGTGAATTTTATTGTTTCTGAAGTGTTGCCTTTTTTTTCCAGGTGTGCTGGATAGCTTTAGTGTCAACTTGACACACCTGTGTTGAGGGAGCCTCAATCGGGAAATTGCCTCTCTTGGACTGGACTGTGGCCCTGTCTGGGGGGCATCTTCTTGATGAGTGATGTGGGAGGTCCCAGCCCAATGTGGGTGGTACCACCCCTGGGCAGGTGGGCCTGTGTTGCCTAAGAAAGCAGGCTGAGCAGGGGCCAGGGGAGCAAGCCAGTAAGCAGCGTTCCTCCATGGCCTGTGCTCCAGCTCCTGCCTCCAGGTTCCTGCCCTGAGTTCTTACCCTGGGCTCCCTGATGAACTGTGACCCGGGAGATGTAAGGCAAATAAATCCTTTCCTCCCCAAGTTGGTAGTGGTCAGAGTATTTTGTTGCAGCAATGAAGAAACAAACTAGGACATCAGGTTATATAGCTGAAATCATGGTATGTAGTCTTTTCAAACAGGCTTCTTTTTAAAAAAGATTTTTAATTACATATGGAGGGCGGGTGTTGTACACAAGTGCAGGTGCCTTCAGAGGCCAAAGGCATTATATCCCTCTAGAGCTGGAGTTACGAGGGTCATGAGCCACCTGACCTGGGTGATGGAACCAAACTTAGGTTCTTTAGAAGAGCAAAGCAGCTCTATTGAGTCAGGGTCTCCTCTGTAGCCCCAGCTGTCCTGGAATTCACTATGTAGACCAGGCTAGCCTCGAACTCACAGAGATCCACCTGCCTCTGCCTCCCGGGTGTTTGGGTTAAAGGTCTGAGCCACCAAGCCGGGCTCTATCTTTAATTTTTTAAAAAATATTTTATTATTACTATTATTTTTATTTTAAGTGTATGAATGTATTGCCTGAATGTAGGTAGTTGCACCTGTGTTGTGCAATGCCCATGGAAGTTAGAAGAGGACGCTGGATTCCCCTAGAACTGGAGTTACTGATGATTGTTAGCTACCATGTGGTTGCTAGGAATCAAACCGGGTCCTCTGCAAGAGCAGCCAGTGCTCTTAACTACTGAGTCATCTCTCTCCCTCTTCTTCCCCTCTTATGATCTACTTTCTAGTTTCATGACCACACACGCATGTGAGTGTATACACACACGTGTACATAGACATACACATAAGTATGTAAGTGCACACATATAATTTATTTCTTGTTGTTTGAGACAGGGTCTCACTTTGTAGCCCTGGCTGGCCTGGAACTTGTTATGTAGAACAGTACACATAGATCTAATTTTAAATCTAGGTTCTGTATATGAGAGAAAACATGATGTGTATATATGTGTATATGTGTATGTGTGTTGCCTGCATGTATGTAAGTGCACCTG